TGTGCGTCAAGTCTCGAAACTTCCTGTCTATCAAACAGACCATAGAGGCACTAAGTGTTGCTGCATTTCCTCTGTCGAAAAAAACAAGGACAATTTATAAATCATCTTTAGCAACAGCTTGCAAATCATTGTTATCAGGTCACCTACGTTTTCTAGTACTCTTGTTGTTTACTTCGAAGTTGTCAGAGGTCTTTCACTTAATAATGACTTCTCAGCCGGTGACTGTTCTTCACAAGTTGTTGCCTTTGTTTTATGTGCCTGCATTTGCTCTTAAATTCGTGGAATATAAGCTGAGGGATCTTTTCCGCTAGGCTTGCAATTAAAGTGCAACTATGAGGGTGTCGAGAAAGGTTGAAGAACTTTTGAAGGAGTGTATAATTTGTTCACTTGCGTTATGAAGTAACGTAACTACTTAAGTCAAGCTCTGACAAAGTCCGTAACCGTTTTAGTGCAAAATGATATAGTTTTATGAAGTTGTGTGTTATAGCGAAAAGGTATTTCAGGCTGCAAAAACGCAACAGGCTATCAAGGAAGAGGATATGCAAGTGCAGATTGTTGAGAGATCTTCAGCTATTGATGTTGCCAAAGAGGTTTTCTTATTTGGATATACTTTTCCATTATCCTACGGGCTAAATGTTTTGTTGCTCTTGAAAGGATGCTGCCAGACGTAATGTCTTCTAGCGTTTTTATTAGGTTAGGCGTAAGAGGGCTTTACGAAAGGAAAACAGACAATTATTGGCTGACTTGTTACTTGGAAGCAGGTGACTGAAAAAAAAAAAAGATGATATAAATAGTTAATTAGTAGACGGTTTGATATTAAATATACCTTGTGCACACTGCGTATGAACAAATTTTATTCTACGGTAATCAGGTGGTGTCTCAAAGAATACGCCACAGGCTTTGGCTTATTCACAGTTCAAATAAGGAAATTAGTTTCTTGTTAAATAGATTTTATCACTAAACCATGTTTTTTATCTCAAATCTGACTCTTTTTGAATCTTCTTTACATTAGGAAGCTGCTCGTATAGAACGCGCTCTTAATGCAAGTGTCCGTTTGCCTGCCGATGCGGAGAAGTACCGTTTAGAAAAAGTAGCGCAAGCGGAAAAGAAACGAATTATTTTGGAAGCTGAAGCACAGGCAGAAGCAGAACGGGTAGGATATCATTACTTGAACTTTTTTTTTATTTTTTTTTTTCAATTATCGTAGCTACGAATGCTGCGATGATCGTGCTAACGTCTATTTAGGTATTCTTAATTTTAGTTTAGTATGCTTTTTAGTGTTACATGTTTTTGGTTATTTTTTACATGGATTTCAAAAGATGTTTCAAAAGTGGTGCTACCGGACTAGTTTCATAAAATTTATGTGACGAAGTTTTTATGTAATCAATTATAATATCGACTGTAATACGCTTTTAGTATTGAAACTTATGGCTCTTAAAACCATCACCCGAAAAGCTATTTTTATTGCGTTTTTCAAGGCGTTTGTTTATGACTAGCTGCGATACTTTGTCTTTGCTGAGTTTCGCTGCGTAAAGCTGCTGCTTTAAACTGTCGAAAAGAAAATAATAACTGAATGTCAAATTTGAATTTTGTGGTTAGTGGGTTGGTAAATGGCACTCGTATTGTTGGATTTTAGTATGAAACGTTGTATTTCAATAAGAATGAAGTGTGTGCCAGTTTCATTACTTTTGAAACATTTTGGATGTCTATTTATTGGCTAACAGGAAGCATGGGGGTTGTTGAATTTGAAATTATACTAATTTTTAGGTAAAAGGAGAAGCTGATGCTTACGCAATTGGTATTAAAACGGTTGCGGAAGCAAAGCAACTACAGAAAAAAGCCGCGGCATATGATGAGTTTGGTGACGCTGCTCGTGCAGAAATGACCCTAAGCACGCTTCCGAAAGTAAGCTTCTGTTGTCTTTGATTATGCAAATCCAGTCTCACGACTGTAGCATTTCCCATTAGTCAGAATTATACTTAATCTTAATCAGGTAGCTGAGGAGGTTGGTACAGCGATTTATGATGGCCTTGAAGAGATTAAATTGATTTCAACAGGAAATGGAGATGTAGGTGTGGCGAAAGTTACTGGAGAGGTTAGCCAGTAGTTTTTTCCAGAGTTTGACATTTTGCCACCTAGTGTCGGTTTTTTGTTTTCAGGTTCTTGACGTAATCAAAAGCATAACAAAGTTAACGTCAAACATCACTGGTGTTCAAGTATTTGAGGTAAAACAGAAGTACTCAGGTTTCTTCCTTTAACATCTTTGGGATGTAAGCTTGACTTTCAGATTCTTTAAAATTTGCAGGGCGAGCCTACGCGACAAGAAAATCAGAAAGGTCGTTAGGAATAAATTTTTTAATGTGTAATACAGGTACCGAACAGCAATTGCGTTTTAAGCACATAATTCTAATCCTGTTATTAATTGGTGAAACGCTTATTTTCAGTTTTTCAATTTCATGATTTCTTGTTTCAGCTTTTTTTTTCTAAAATGGTTAGAGATTGTGCGACTTTAACTGTTTTGTCAAAGAGCTTCTAAGGGTAACATCAGGAGGTAACGTCGCTCTTTTAATCTTTACGTCTTCAAAGCTGTAAAGTACAAGACAGAAATAGCAAGTGTAATTGTTATGAGGATCTTTGTTTACTCCTCGGTCATTAATTTATAACTCACCTGACCCTTATTGCCTGTAAGAATATTTGTAAGTAAACAACAAGTTTGGAAGAACATTTTTACGCTCTAATGGCTCAGTAAAACAAGTTTGTGCGAGAAGGACGTTCCTCCTCTCTGCGGGATTAGGGGGAGTCTTTGGCGTGAATTAATTGTTTGGCAGTAAGAGAATTGGAAGACAAGAAGACAGCAAATATATTTTTTTATACTTGTAAGGCTTTTTTTATGAAGGCGTTACCATGAAATCACTGCAGTACAAGCTATGACTAGAACGTTACTGTGTGAGATATTGTATCTTGTTCCAAGTTCTAGATTAACGGCTAAAAAAGGTTTTTAAGTTGCATCTGTTCTACACAGCCTGGTTGTTGTTTTGAAACTTGCACTCGCCATTTTCTCTTACAATTTATGAATAATTTTGCAGGTACATTGCCAGGAATTTTAAAAGTTAGGAACTGAGAAAACCTTAGCTAGAAATTTCTGCTTTTTTTATCACTTCACGCTACGTTTGCTAGACAATTTTTAGCAACCACGTCGTATGAAGAGGTTTTCTACTTCTTTGTCGACAAGCTAGAACACTTTCAAATATAGGCCGGTAGGCTTGGATTAGCCAGCCTTTCCCAAACTGTTTCAAGTCAGGTCGACCGGAAGTTGACGCAATATTGTAATCGGGCAATCCGAGTGACCAAAGCGATAAGGTTTTACGTTCTTCTTCTCACAGCGCATGATATGAACATTGATCAGTAATTCAGAGTAAGGGATAAAAGCAAAGTTTAAATAAGCTAAAAAAGCAGCTTGATTTTTACATGCATTCAAAAAATAGGATTCAGTGAAAGAAATTTGACAGGATAATTAAAATATATTTCATTTCTTTTATTTTTAAACGACATTTTTGGGAAAATGACGAAAAATCAACAAAACCAGTGATTTTTTGCTTCGTATTTAGCAGATGAAAGTGTCATAGCTGTGTAGCTCAGTGCGTTTCATGACTGTTTCGGTTGGTCTCTGCAATCGCTGCTTCTATCTTGACTTCAAAATTCGTTTTCAGTTGGTTTTTTGTTTTTTCTGCCTATCAATTTCTCACGAGAGTTATTGATGGGAAGTGCGACGGTCAGGGACGAGGAAAGGAAATGTGCCTGTTCTTCAGTGTGGACTGTAATCTGTAAGTAGTCCTTCCTCGAACTTTTTTTAGTTCAGCGCTTTTTTTTTTTGAACTATAACTTCTTCAAACCAGATAATCTATCTGTGTCTTTACTGCTTGATTTCATATTAGTCTTTCACTTTATTACGTGAAGAATGATGAAAATCACGTGCGTAACAAGTTATTATCATTAAAATTTTTGTTGGGAGTCTTTAGGAACTGTTTTTTGTAAATTTAAATCTTTATTTTATTGCATTTTCTTTAATTTTTTCACTTTTATTAGAATGTTGCGTTGAAAATTCTTTTTTTTTTGCAAGAGGTTTTTGAGATATTTTAGCCCAAAATAAATTTTGTAAAATAAGCATTATTTTCTCTAAATATTGCAAGCGGTGCTGTAGGTAGGTGCCTCTGATTCTGAAGTCAATTTTGAGGTACCTATTTTGTGGGTTTTCTTTTGTTAGTTATTCAGAAAATTTATCACAGAAAAGCACTTGCTATTTCTTCTTTTTACTCAATATCACTTTTGTAATTAAGTGTACCACATCTCAACAATAGCCTAAAGGAGATTTTCTTACCTTATAATTCAAACCTGTTCTACAAATCATTAAATGTTACGTACTTTTTTATAGCTGCTTAGTGCGGCTGAGTGCCATTAACAGTTTTCCAAATCTAGAAACGAGGTTCACACTAAAAAAATCTCTACACAGTTATAAAAAAGGTGATAAGATTGAAAGCTTTTCAAATATTTGAAGATAAAATTAAGAAAAGCTTCCACTCATAATATTAACAAAATAAGCATTATTCGTATTCACTTGATACTAAACAATTTTTCCTGAGTTATTTTATAACTTTTTTTTCAGGCTTTTTTGTCATTCTTCTACTTTTTTGATTTCTTGGTTTCTTCTACTTTTTGAAGAAATTGCTTACCAGTGTTGTAGTTCTTTGGGAAGATATTTTCATGACTTTAAAAGCACATTTCAACGCAGCTTTTTCTAGATTAGGTCTTGTTGTTTTCTTCCCAAATGCTATTTGTTTTGAAATTAAACGCGTATAAAGGTAAACAGCTGTGTACATATCTCAAGAATTTTGGGTTTGCAAATTATAAATTTTTGGTTTAGCTATAATTTTAAGTATTCTTTGCAGAAAGTCTAAAGATTTGGTTGTATATCCTGCTAAAACCTACCTGGATTTTATGGGTTTAATTTCCATCACCTGTTTTTGGTATCTGTTTATTTTTTTGTTTTTTTGTTTCTATTGAGCTTACGATCTATTCTCATGAGCGTTAGTAAGTATTGAGAGGTGGGACAGATTTATAACAACCAAAATAAATTTTTCTAACCATTAATTATGATTGTATGTTGCTCTTAACTTTACTCTTAAACTTGACTGTATGCAAAGAAAATTGTTAAATGTTGAGTCTTTATTACTTAATTGTTTTAGAGCACAGCTGATCATGACGTATGTTAATTCATCATCTTTAGTGACAAGTAAATAACACTTGTTATTTTGATGTGATTATGGCGCTTATATTAAATTTTTAAAACTTGCCTAGTTACCACTTTCTTGTAAATAATTCGTCTTTATTGTATTTTTGCTTATAACAGATGTATTTCTCAATGTATTCACAAAGTGATGTTTGTTTGGCTAATCGTGTATTATTAACAAATAAAAAAAAAGAGGCTATCTGGTTAACAGAAAACTGCTATTAGGTACGGCAGAAATCTAAGTACCAATTCTGTAAAAAAAAAAAAAAAAAACCAAGTGCAGTTTTGATATTTTTAAACATTATTGTCCAAAACGTGACCAATTTGGCATAACTGCTTGCAAAAATAGTAGGAACAAACTGTGTAATAACAAAACAGTACTTTTTTTTCAAATTTTAACTTTACACTGTAGTTAATTTTGGTACAGATTGTTTTACTTCATGTTTTAAGGGAATTTGTCAGTTTCTGTCGCACTATGGGGGTAAAAAAACCATTTATGCATCTTTAATCTGTAAGGTATTAGGTATTAGATTTTGCAAAGTATCTGCAGTTAATCACAGTTGCTATCAAAGCTAGAAGGACATTTGACTGTATTGACTGTATTTTGACCGTGTTTTTATTAGTCTTTTACTGCATATTCTGGTTGTGTGAACATGTAAATTTGAAGCGCATCTCGAGAAAAGCATGAGGAATTAAAATAAACCACAAAGTTTCCTGTAAAAATGTCGAAGCTTTATGACACCAGCTCTTGATGACAAAGGAGTGCTAGCGCAAGTTATCTTTACGTATATTAACCTTTTTTTTTCAAATTGTGATGAATATTTTAATAACCATTTTTGCTCAGTGGTAGGTACTGCCTTACCTTTGTCCTCATTCATCTTACATGTTAGACGATCAACTTTTACAAGTGTTTCTAGAGAATTAGTCTAAGTGCGTCTCAAAAAGAGCGAAATTTTCTATACGTTTTTCTTGATAAAAAACTGAAAACAAAAGTTTTGACGATTACTCAACAAGTATGCATACGGTTTTCATTAATTATGAATTTAGGATGTTGTTAGTGGTCTGAAAATGTAGTCTTTTGGTAAAAATGACAGTGTCACGGAATGTTGGAAACTCTTTTGCAGAAAACAGTTTTGAGTTTTGCCGGTGTAGAGTTTAGCAACGCACTGAATATATTATCTGACTTCCATACAGTGCGGTCGCACTCAAACAAATCTGTTTCTTGATAAAGTTTGATGCATTTCTAAAGATCAGTTTGTTGTTTAATTCTGTTGGAGAGACTGGTTTCAGACTCTTATCAACAAGCCTTGCCGAATTAGTGACATATACTGCAATGTCAACAAGTTTTTGGACTAAACAACCCTGGCAATACAAGATATTTTTTGTGGTCTAATATTTCAGTAGCTTAGCAAAGCGCCAACAGCTTTTCCTAGAATGAACAGTAAATAAAGCAGCAATTTTAAGCGTGACTACAGGGACGCGTCTTTATTTTGATTTCACCGGTAACAAAGGCAGGAATCAAGAGAGGAAGGCAAGGAATGACTTTTACTGATTGTCATATTGCGTAACCGAAGTTACTAACACTGTACGATAAACTTCTGCGTTATAAAAATAAATTTTTGGAGGTTCTATACAGCTACGTGAGCGTTTAGAGAACGGGCTTCTGAAAAGTCTCTTTCTTCGGACAAGCTGCGGCGACAGCAACCTTCATGTGATCGCAGCTCGTTGCAATTGACGGGACACGTGAACCGTGCCGACCTTCAACTAGGGAATTGAAAATCTTGTGGTAGCCATCGCTGCGACGTGGTGAGACTTTTGAGCACAAAGATTGTGATCTTTATTCACTACTAAAGGTTTTTTGTGCAAGAGTAAAAAAAATTGCCTTTAGTAGCTGTACCTTCAAAGTTCATTATCAAAGATTTATCCACACGTTATTCAATTTTAATATTATTCTGCTAACTTGTAAAACCAAAGTATTTAAAAATGTGACTACGTCGTATTAGATCGGATGCTCCGTATTCGTCTAAGTGCGAAGAAAATGTGCATTTTATCGACTA